TTTTTTTTTTTTTTTTTTTTTTTTGTTAGCATATTTGAATAAGTAATTTTTAAAGTTATATTGTATTATATTATATTATAATCTTAACTAATAATATTAAATATGAAAGTAAGTGTATCTGTTACGTGTTCATTCCTAAACCGCTGAACCAATTTTGATGAATTTTGGCATAGAGATTGGCGAAAATAAAATTTGAAAGGAATAAAAGGTTTACACTTACTTATGGCGGTTTTACGGGGAGGGGGTCAAGAGGGTCTGGACCCCCAAATCAGCTCGGAACAATAAACATTTTTATCCACATAAAATTAAATAAAAACTAAAAAGATCTCGAAAATATTAAATGTCTATTAATAACTAAAAAATCGTTAACATATTTTAACACATTTAGAATAGGCTAATAATATACAAGTATGTCATGTCTCTATGAATTTTTTTAACCGAATTACTAATTACTACAAAAAACAAAATTGAAAATAACGATATCGGAAATAACCATAAAATTTGTCATTTTCTTACATTTTTTCTAATTATTAGGGAAAATACCAGAAAAATCTAAAAACTACTTCCCTACAATGCACCAACTAGATTAAATTTTCATTCAGAAAAGATGCTACGCTCAGTAATCGGAGATTTCTGGTAGGAAAGTTATTAGCAACCACAATAAAAAACACATATCATAGTGAAACCAATATACATTCTTCGTTGCGCTTAAAATCTAAAAAAATATGATGAATGGTGACGTGGTTAAACGAATACGTGTTATTTTCGTTGGTACAAATAGGTACCTAATCGCGTTTACTGCTTCGCGCTTAATGACGAAATAAAGGGCACGATAACGACATTAATTGTCGATTGTTCCTATCATGAATCGTGTTGGTTTAAAAAATAAAAATAATAACAAAAAACAATGAACAAAACAAACACGTTTTATTGCGATTTTTTAATGCAAAATTAAACCGTTTTGAAAATACTAACTACCTACATACTGGTATATTGTGATTAATAACTATTGTACCGCTGCCCAGTGCCCATGAATAAATACTATTCAAAATAGGCACTTTTTGTTCGTAACGCGTAATCAGTCAATAAGACAAAACGGTCGTTTACATGTACAATTATTAGGGGGGAAAAAAATGTATGTGAAATATTATATGATTTATGTAGCTTGTAGGCCATCGCCGTTTAAATCAAAATGAAAATAAGATATTTGAATGATGAAATATTATTGATAATTTAAATTTAATATGCCTACACGCTCTGCTCACGGATTATTAAAAATTACAAGTTTCGTCATATTCAAACACCTGTAATTATCTGTATTATTATAAATTATAATCCGTCACCATTCTAAATTGAAAAGTTCCGGTGAAATTTGTATAAGAATAAATCGAGAAAACAAAAAAAAAAAAAACAGTGTTTCAACATATTATAAATTAAATATCAGTGATGTATTTTGGACTAGGTGGAAGGTAGAGATGGACAATTTATTATTATGGATGATTAATAACTAATGGCTAGAAAAAATTGTAGACATAAATGACAAACAAATTATATAATTTGTAATAACAAATCCACTCTTCTCGGCTACAGAGCTATTTCGTTATCAATGTGTACTTTGGATATATCGGTACATTACTATAAACTGCCAGCTTAGTCAGTCCATTAAATCGATTCTAATGAACAAAATATTTAGTTATTAGGTATGTAATGTCTGTAAAGTATCCTGATTTTCAACAATTATAAATATCATCGTATTATTCCGCAAGTATGTTTTTGATCCTCATCTTTATAGCAGAAAACATGGACCCAGTCGATACGAGTAATGCACGTACTACATATTTGTTTAGTTATAAAATAAAATTAATGGGGGGGGGGGTGTTTTAAACTCAAATGGGTGTATTTGATTACACTACTGTCAGGTATAACGTGCGGGGCTAAAAATTTGCATCTTTTTAAGAATTTTTAGTGACCTAACCGAGAAAAAAAATCACAAAGTAAAAATCCGGAGAGCCTAATATAAATATATTATAAATAAGTAATATTTATTTTATATATATCGTAGGTCATATGAAAAATGAGTCTTTTTGCGAAAAGACTAGGCTCTTTGCGATGGGGTAGCCCGTTTTTGAACTACTTATTATTTTTCTAAACGGCCAACTGTTTTTCAGGCTTATTGCATACAGATTAACAGCAGTTTGGATCTTTAAGAACTACATTCATTATATAGTTATAACCATTTTACATATTTTATTTTAAGGGTATAAACTCTATCAATGGCAAGTATCAGTGAAGTTTAGATTAGTAAAATATTTACTTATTGTTACCTGTGGCTTTTTCGTGTTACATTTTTTTGCCTACAACTTTGCCAATTATACTTTGAGTGTTTAACTGTCGTCCACGATCTACTTAATAAGTAAAACGGTTATTGCTGTATAATGGTTGTAGTTCTTAAAGGGCCAAACTGCTGTTAATCTATACGTAATAAACCTGAAAAACAGTAGGCCGTTTGGAAAAATAATAAGTAGTTCGCAAACGGGCTACCCCATCGCAAAGAGCCTAGTCTTTTTGCAAAAAGACTAATTTTCCACATGGCCTACGACATATACATATTACTTATAGTATTATAGGCTCTCCGCAGTAAAATAGATAGGTATGAATGTATGATTACATCGGTACGTGTTCTTGTCCGATTTGGCACAATACGCCTACTTTTGTTCTCGTCGTTTCATTGGTCTCGACAATTTTTGCCAGATACATACAAATCTTATATAATTAGCGTTTAACTCGATTTACATAGATATGAAATCTAATCAACGCCATTTGAGAATATTAATATTATTAATTCCTGAAAATTCCAGAATGTAAAATTTTGTGATTATATATCTATAAGTTACATAACTACAAATTTTAAAAATACCGGCAATATAAACGCCCAATGAAATGTCGAGAATATAAATAATAGATGGGGTCCGGTGATGGTGTGCGTATCAGTTAGAATGTGATATACCTATCTATTTTTTTGTCACGGTAAAACATATGTGTACGTTCTTCGCTTCGTCTCGCAGCCACATCACCGCTCAGAATCTGAAATTAATTTCGGTCTCGTACCTATACGTATAGTGTGTATCGATTGTTCGTATATTTTCATTATCCTCGGTTCAACGGACAGCGCAATATATAATAGTATAAGCGTTTGTATATAATAATAATAATATTATTATTATTATTATTATACTATATAATTTGTCCTCGCGCGAATTCGTCACAGAATCCACAAAAGGCTTTCTATACAGTTTTCGGTTTTAGTTATAATAATATTATAACGTAGGTACGAGTAAAACGATGACGACGCCACGAGTTCGTATCTGTAATACACAAGTATTAGAACACATACAGCGTGTGTTTCACTCAAAAGCAAACACGAAATATTTCGACTGATATCGAAATTGGGGTTTTTTTTTTCGACAAAGATAGGAGGTACATCAACAGAAAACATTTTGAATCAATTTTCACCATTTTGGTAAGTGCGTGCGCACTAAAATGTCTTCTTAACTTTTAGGCCAAGTTCGAATAGTCCTTTTTGTTAGCAAATTTGAATTTTATAGTTTTTACTGTCTCAAAAATCGCCTAGATACAGACGTTTAGATTTGATTAAAAAATATGAAAAAATTTGATACGCATGACTTTAAAAGTGAAGGCATTTGATTACTGTTTTATAAGATGGAAGGGGAAATATGTTTAAAAATTATTGTAAATTGACAATTGACACATGCATTTTTATTTTTTACCATTCAATATAACTTGTAATTAACTTCGTTTTAAAGTACCAATTATGTTTAACTTTTTTAACTCGAAAACGTCCAATTCCAATAGCTCAAAATAGGCCAAAATATTTGAAACTTGTACCATATCTAGAAAAAGCTTTTATTATGTAAGTATTATGTGATCATTTCAGGACTCTACGGTTATTTTTAAAACAGATTATAACAACAAAATAAAATAAATAGAAAATACTGAAACCGTTATTGCCGTAAACTTTCCTGTTTTTCTCATTTGTTAAGAAAATTACACGGAAAATCAAAAGACAACTTTTGTTTACATCAACTAGAAAAAATGTATGGTATTTTTCCTATACATTTATTCGGTTTCCCCGATTATTTTGAGAACCACAAGGAATCTAAAAAACAATGATATCCTCAATGCATCAGCTAGACCTAAAATGCTACAAAAAAAGCTCTCGTCAGTTTTTAAATTAGGGTTTTAGCAGTTATTTTCTTCACAAATACAAAAAAAAAAAAAATATATATTTATATCATAGTAAAACCAATACATTTTTCGCTGCGATTAGTATCAAACATGTTAATTTTATTGCATATCTGTGCTCTGAAGGGGGTTTTATTTTCTAAAAAAAGCCTCAAAATATGTATGGTACTATCCCAATATTTAAAAAAACTCATTTCGCGATCGGCATTCAACTGGCTGAATAAATTATTTCGTGTCACCATTTGTGTGAACAACATTACTACAGTGAAGTATTTTAGGAGGATGTCTTAGGATGCGATCTCTCAATTTTACTGGACGGTGAACGTGTAATGTGGATGGCAGGTTATCAAAATTACACATTTTTAATTAGTCTATGATAATATCATTTGAAGGTATTGACGTTAGTTAGACTGAAACAGCCGACGTGAGTGTGGTGCCTTCTTAAGCATATCGTGTGCGATTATATACGAAATTACCGCCGACTAAATAAAACAATTTTATTCTCACCGTGAACGTTATGCGAAATCAAACCGATAAGCAAACGACGAGATCGACCCCGCGAGACGATGACACGCGTATTATTTTGTCTATATCAATAATAAAAATTATTATTAAAACGTGTCACGATTAGTCAAGAGTTAATTTAACATGATGATAAAATAATATTATGCACTATGAGGTTTGCAGGGACCCTGGCAATATCCGCACGAATTTCCACCTTGAAGTAAGAACTCGTGCGGCGCGCGGGCGGTTGCTCCGGTGTCGGTCGCGCGGAAACGCGCTGGGAGAGAGTGAACGGACGCGTCGAGAAATCGGAGATTTAAACACCAACTGCTGCGGCAAAAACTATTACGGCACACGCCGCTGCAATACCGATTGTTATAATAATACTATAACCTACACTTGGGATCCGTCACTCGTACCGTCAATTACGACATTTTGCCGGGCATCAAAACATCAGTATAATATAGTTTACTGGCTCTTCGGCGGTTCCTCAACATTTCATACGAATGTTGCATGAGTCGTGATAATTGCAATTATTACATTATACACATATAGGCTAAAAAAGTACCTAAATAAATGTTATTATCAGGCTTGTAAAACAGTTTAAAGTTGGGTGGCACCAGTGGTATACAACTTTTATAGGTGGGAAGTTGAGAAGATAGTATACATATTAGGGTGCCACTTATTTTTGAAGTTGTTAATTTTGAAGAGCGCTGGCCGGGGATTTGTTCCAATGCATCTAAAAATAGTGTCTGAACAGTTTGAGGTTAATGGAACATAGTTAACACGTGGCGACTTAAGGTCAAAGTTTGACTAAAAAATGTTTAATGTCACGGTTTGTCGCATAACTACTTAAAATTATATTTGACAAAAAATTATATAGAATCATTATTGTAGTTAAAATTAATTTCTAAAAAAAATGTGTCTTTACATTTCATTGTATAGTTCACCCTTACCAATAAAAATAATAAAATATGTTATAAAAATACCTGGTAATATCTAGTTTATACGTTTAAATGTTTACGTTTAATATGTGTGATAAGCAACTTCTCATATAAATATTAAATAACAATATAATAATCAGTTTTAAATCTAAACATAATCTTTATATATCTAAACAATGATAATAGTTGGGTTATTTTATATTTGAATCATACACAACTTAAAATCGATAGAGTACCTAGTATCATTTTAATTAGTTCGTAAACGTACGTCTATCGAGAATATTGAGTTATTAGCGTTGTTATATAGTATTATAGTATTAGTGTTTTTTTTTTCTTNAACTGGTTCGAAATTACCGTCAATTGGTGACTGTTTACGAGTTTTATTTTTTAATATGAGGATCTCTAAATTAAATTTGAATAATAGTGCCCTTCTTGTTGTTGATGAGTGTTTAGTTTTTTGGAAGAAGGCAAGAATTCCTATTAGAGATACTCACAAATGCAAAGATAAATTAAAAAATATTTATAATAATTGGCGACAACTATTAAAAAACAAAAACGAAAAAAATGACAAATTCAAACAAAGAGAGTTACAGTTTTGTGGTACTTTAAATGATCTTTTTGATATTGCCCATCAAAACGCTTTGAGTATTATAAATATTGAAGAAGACAGGCAGTTTTTACTCAGGAAAAGAGAAAAAAGTCGAGTAGGATCCATGCTTGAAATTGATAAAAAAAATTAACGAATATCGAAGTAAGAAGGCAAACAAGACGAGAAAATTATGAGAAAAACCAAGAAAAAATGTTAAACACTCCATCTACATCAGTAGATGTCTGTTTAGATTTTTCATTTTCCGAAGACTCAAATACTGAGTCGGAAGAAGAGATGTATAATCAACCAACTACTAGTGTACAAGAAGAAATTATCGACTTATCAAAAGCTAAGCGAGCACGGAAGGAAATATTAACACCAAGGTTATCAGCAGCACTTGATAAGTGCAAAATAGGTGAAAGAGATGCTGTACATTTATTGGTATCATTTTTGGAAGCGGTTTCGTTAAATCCATCTGATTATGTTATTAATAGAACCTCAATTCGAAATTCAAGAGCCATTTTTCGCGAATCATATAACAAGCAAGTAAGAAAATCATTTAACAGTTTAAATATTGAGTCGATAGTCATTCATTGGGATACCAAATTATTAAAAAATGTAACTGGAAAATTAGTTGATAGATTAGCGATTATAGGCACAGGTACCAGTATAGAACAAATTGTAGTAATTCAAAAATATAGCGGGGTGTGCCTAGTTATGTAAATAGATTCACACGTGTAAGTTAATTATAAATTTGATTACCTTTCTTCTTCGGGCGGCAAATTGATCTGTTGAATTTGATAAAGGTGACCGTAGTAAATAAAAAGATTTTTAATATAACAACTGTTTCTTTTTTATTAATTTTTTAAATATAAAACACTGTTCTAGGTTCCCGTGCTTTTGTAAGAATCTCTGCGTAGTCTTTTACACTCGCTTGTGATCATCTGTCCAAAAGCAACGGGAACAATACATACACTGTGTGTGATTAGAAGTGGCCGGCCTCCTTATAACTGGAGNTTATTATAATTATTTTACAATATTGATTATATAATTTATTTTAATTATATATGATAGCTTAAGTATTATCTCCTTACGATGAGTAAATATCGCACTAAAATATATGTTATTTGATAAGAAAAAAGAATGGAATCGGATGTAAATGTTTAACTGTCATTCCCGTTATTAATTGTTTGATTTATTTACATTACATAATGTATGACAGCTTAAATAGCATATCATTAAAAAATATTAGATATTCCAGAATTGTATGCAGGTACTGGAATTGAAGTATCGTCCGCAGTATATGATACAATAGATAATTGGTTATTAACAGATAAAGTACAAGCATTTGTGTTTGACACAACTGCGTCAAATACTGAAAGACTGAATGGCGCGTGCGTTTTGCTCGAACGCAAAATACGATAAGAAATTTTGTATTTTGGATGTTGACATCATATTTGTGAAACAGTTTTAGCAGCAGTTTTTACAAAGTGTAATATTTCATTGGTTTCTGGGCCGGACATACCTTTATTTAAACGATTTAAAGCAAAGTGGGCTGAAATAAACCATAATAACTATTTATCAGGAAACATCGACAAAGAAATTATTAATATATTAAAAGATGATTACAATACTGCACTAGATTTTGCAAATTGTACAATATTAACCACATTACCGAGAGATGATTATAAAGAGTTCTTAGAGCTTATCATAATTTTTTTGGGTGGAATCCCTCCTAATGGAATACAGTTTAAAAAACCTGGAGCATATCACTTGGCAAGATGAATGGCTAAAGCGATTTATTCAATTAAAATATATTTATTTCGTCGAGAGTTTCATTTGAAAAACGAAGAAGAGAAATCTCTATTACAATTTTATTTATTGTGAAATGTTACTTTAAGTATTGGTTTTCTTCGCAAAAAGCCCACGAAGCTTCATTAAACGATATTCAATTGTTGAGAAAATTATACGATTATAGAACAATCAATAAAAATGTATCTGATGTAGCCATTTGTAAAATAAATAATCATTTATATATATTCGAGTATTTATATCGGTCATATTGACTTTAATAGTAATACCAGAATAAAACGACTATAGCACAATCGAATTATTATTGAATTTTACATTTTTGATATCGCTCATCTATACTAAGATCTAAAATAATTATCAAAATAACGATTATTGTAGTTTTAGTTTCAGCAAAAGAGACAAGATAGATAATTTTGCAATGTACAAGAAAATAAATTAGTACCTAATAGATTAAATTTTAATGAAAATAATTTAACTTAATATTCGCCAGTAAATTCGTTTTTTAATCTTAATATTTGCACATCGAAAAGTAAGAAAAGACAAAATACGCATAAATATGCATGAACGCACTTTAATATACAGTTGTGTAACAACAAACATTGGCTTGTATATTGAACGTAAATTAATAATATCAAGTAAAAAACCATGTGCAAGAAAATAGGTAAAATTCAAAGATAACAAAATATTTATATCGTAAATCACCACTTCCTCAAAAAGTATTATAGACAAGCACGTAGCGTGTCGGAACACACGTGCTCTATCCATTTTCGTTTGTTATTGTTTAATTTCATAATATTACGTAATTTTCCAAATATTTCGGGACTTATTTATAGACTTATTTACGGTGATCGGAAATAATTTCGTTCGTTTAGGTGGCAATCATACAATTTGTTTTCGCCCCGTTTAACAACACTAACAAGCTTTAAAAAGCTCCGTGTATATGCCATATTGCGTTGCGAAAAATATCCTAATAATTCACTTCGCGTATGGACGGTACTCGGGGAAGTCGCAGCTAATTGGAACCCTCAATTCCCATCTGGTGTAATGTAATTATTATTATTATTGTTATTATCGTGGAATAGTCTTATTTTCGGCTGACTTGCGTTTAATGTACGACCGGGCGCAACGCGATAATTGGGTCCTAACGATCGCGCAGATCGATCGCGGTGTTCCCGAATCGTAAATCGCACTGGACCCACGATTATGTGACGCAATCAAGCCTCCAACACAACGACTGACAACTATTATGTATTGTACATTAATGAACCCGAATAAAACTCGTCGTCGCGAAGCTGTTCTCGTTTATAATTAAATGTGTCACCGTTACTTTAGCGATAAGTGATAATTCCCTCTCCTTCCCCCCCCCCCGATTGACGAGATAATTGTAGGTTACTTTGATAACGACGGAATTTGATAAAATGTTATAAATATTATAATACAACGCCATTATAAGATGCCATTCAATAATGTATATCTGTTACATGCATAACGCGTCGTGTGTAGGTTAACGTATACGATTAGCGAAACAAATTCCGACTCGCTGTATAGTAAATTCGGGTAGTTTTTATTATGTTTCAGGTAATTTGATTCCCGTGTATAATAATAATATTTCATTACGGAAAAACAAATTAAATATAAAATTGCAGTGAAAAAATAAAATAAAATAAGTATACGTATATCAATAATCACAAATTATCAAAATAACTTTGTTAGTTCGGATGAAAAAGAATCAAATTTTTTTACGATACTAGCGGTAGACACTAATATATACGACAAAGACAATGAGTAATGACACATAGTTTTTTAGGAATATTCGGTATGTAAAATATAGGTTGATTTCTAGCATTCGGGAGATTAATTTTGAATTTAAAACTATCAATAACTTCTGTACAATCCACATCATTATTCAATAATTTATCCAAAAGGACAATTTCAAAGAAACCATGAGCAACACCATAACCAGAATGAAAGGTTCTTTGTACGTTACACTTGAAATATGAGGAGGTAAAATTTAATTGATTTAATGAACTATTTGCCATATTATTGGTCTTGCGTATAAGAGTTTGTAGCTTACCAGTGAGAAATAAGCAATTTCAATGCATAATCATCGTGAAAATCCTTACAAGTACCTATACGTTTAATAAAACCTAATTTGGTTAACCAGATGGTATACGGATATAGATACTATGATTGTACAATTAAATGGCAGCGTTGAGCGGCACCAAATATTCTTATCACGTTTTCAAAAAGTCGCATCATGCATGCTTTCTCTACAGTCTATTATAGAATTCTTATACAATCATAGATAATAAGTAATAATCAGCCAACAAGGGCTAGGATTTTATACATAGACAATTTGTTAACTATGATTTTATAACGTTATATACAATATTCTTCATAGGGGCGACGTGAATTTTTATATTCTTATTAAGAATATTTGGGGCCGTTATATTACTCGCGTTGAATTGCTCGTTACCATAATACTATATCCGTGGTGTATACACTGGTACATTGTAGCGTGTAGATTATCTAAATTGATTGCAACTGCGCGAACACGAGATAATTGTTCGTATTATTTTATTAAATACCTACTCTCGTA